GAAGAAGAAGAAGAAGAAGAAGAAGAAGAAGAAGAAGAAGAAGAAGAAGAAGAAGAAGAAGAAGAAGAAGAAGAAGAAGAAGAACAAGAACAAGAACAAGAAGAACAAGAAGAACAACAAGAACAAGAAGAACAAGAAAAAGAACAAGAAGAACAAGAAGAACAAGAACAAGAAGAAGAACAAGAAGAACAAGAACAAGAACAAGAAGAACAAGAACAAGAACAAGAAGAAGAACAAGAAGAACAAGAACAAGAAGAACAAGAAGAAGAAGAAATGCAAAATACCTCACATGTTAGAGAATATCAGCCTAGCCTAGATGTCTCAATGGATCTCACTGAAATCCTCAAATCCTCAAATCTGTCTAATCGGGGAATCACACTGAGGTCTCCTCCCTGAATCTAATTTGGATAAGTCCCAGTGACAAGGTCCACTGAGATTACCCAGGTTCTGATCCTGAGGATAGATGAGTCATTTCTGCCTCCACAGGTTGCCAATAAAATTAAATCCACGTGGAAATAGCTTCCTACCAGCGTTTCTAGTTCATTTGTACACATTCGCCCCCTGGTGGTCCTGAGCATCACAGCAAGGAGGTTTGTGTCCGAGCTTATACTGAGATCCCCTCACTGTGCCTCCTGTACAATAATACAGGGCTGTGTCCTCAGCTCTCAGGGTGTCCATTTGCAGATAGACCGTGCTTTTGGAATCATCTCTGGAGATGGCGAATCGTCCTTTCACAGACGCGGCATATTCAGTTGTGTAGCCATTAGCTTTGGTTCTAATGTGAGCAACCCACTGCAGCCCCTTCCCAGGAGCCTGGCGGGCCCAGTCCATGTAGTAGTTACTGAAGGTGAATCCAGAGGCTGCACAGGAGAGTCTCAGGGACCCTCCAGGCTGCACCAAGCCTCCTCCGGATTCCATCAACTGCACCTCAGCCTGGATACCTGCAAACATAAAAATATCCTGGCCATTAAACTTTTGCAAGACTCATTGTTTATCCCATCTTTGACCACCCGCACCCTCAGTATCCCTTGTTCACCACAAATCACCTTTTAAGACAGTAACAAGGAAAACCAGGCTCAGCGTGAGCTCCATGGTCAGCCTCATGTCCTCAGTCCTGATTAGGAAGGGAGAACCAGGGCTGGGCTCTGCTGCAGAGCTGCAACCAGCTGAGCTGAGCTGGTTTTCATCAGCAGAAGGAGGCCCTATTTGCATGTCCTCCTGCTATATAGACAGCTCATAGACTTGAAGGAGAAAAAGTTCAATACCAAGACAAGATGCTAGTTCTCTCATTAAGTCTAATGAAAATATTAATATTCAGTCAAAATAACAATACTCTGGAAGAACCCACACAGGACCTCTTCTATCCCTCATAGGTAGAAGCTTATCTCAATAAGCACTTCCTACTTGTAAAAGATTAAGTATTTTTGTTGTAATGTTCACTTGTAATTTGTATTCTTAATGTATCTTGCCCTTTTTTTGAGTGTCTGTGTTTGTTGAGGAAACATCCATGAACTATCTATCAGAATAAGTGTAACCACATTATCGATTACCCTGAGATCTTGAACTAAATGACAATAACCATTAGATTTACATACAGGAATGGGAACATTGTCTGGCCAGTAGGCACTTTTAATGAAACTATTGGCAAGATGTCAAATTACGGGCTTGAGTCGTCACTGGTATTTATGGGCTTTTGGATGTTGGGGAACACAGGGGAAGGCTAAGAGAGCTCTGAGGCACACCAGTGCCACAGTAGCATGAGTGTCACAGGAGGAAAATATAAGTGTTCTGTTATGGTTTATGTCTAGATTTCCCCCCAAAGCCTCATGTAAGTTATGGGGCAGATGCAGCAGGAGGAGCAATGAGTGGCCTGAGGGGCAGGGGCAGAAGAGCAGGACAGAGCCTGAGGGGCAGGGCCAAAGAGACATGAATGTAAAACTGGCTAGCCTATGCTTACTCAGAAATGTGGAGAGGGTCATTCTGGACACAGCGGTGACCCATCCTGTCCACCAGTGTCTTGAAACCTCCAGTAACTGTGAGCTAAATAAATCTTTCCTTCCCTAAGCTTGAATGTTGGGTATTTATCCCAGCAATGAGAAAAAAGTAACTAAGACAGAATTTGGTACTAGAGAAGTAGAGTCATTGCTGTGGCTAAACCTGACCATGTCAATTACCAGCTTTTGGGAATGGCTGATGGAAAGAGAGAGGAAACATTTGGAGATGCCTACAAGAGAAGCGCCAGAACAGCTTTGGCTATTCTGTAGGGGAGTTTCTGGTCACAGCTCAGACCAGAAAACTGGTAGAAATCCTACCTGTAAACACGAGGCTGGGGAGATTTCTGCTGGGAAGAAGGACTGCCTTGACTGTTGGACTCCAGATCATTTGTGTTTGGTTTGGCAGAAAGTTTGTTTGAATTTTGCCTGTGTCCAGAGACTTTGCCTGAGACTGAGATTAAACATGGAGGACTGATTAATCTTTCAAAGGAAATCTCAAAGCAGTCAAATATTGGGGCAGTGGAATGGTTATTGTTGGGGGCTCTTAGTCACATATATGTTGAGAATCATGAGCAAAACCTCAACAGAATGATTTAGAATCTTGTGTACTTGACCAGAAAGAAAGTGTCAAGAAGGCTCTGTACTGCAAAGATAGAGCTGAGATCTTCATTGCCCAGGAGGAACAGGAGAATAAAAAAGATGTCCTGAGGGCATCACAGGAGGTGGCAGGTTCTTACTGTTTGCAGCCTCCGAATCACAAGGGTGAGGGACTTTGCTTTGGGGAGAAAGCCACAGAGCCCCATGTTTCAAGATTGAGGTGGTGGCTACACCAGGTTCCAGAATGGTGCTGGCATAGAGAATTTGTTCCTTGGAATCAGGGTCAGAGTGCTCAGCAATCCACTCAACCCCTGCAGCCAAGAGAGAGGAAAGTCTGGCAACTGCTCCAGCTGGCCGGAGACCTTGGCATTATCCACCTGTCACTGGTTATAGGTGCAGGCAGAATGCAGGAGTTCTGAGATTAAGGAGTCTTCCACTTAGATTTCAGAGGAAGGCCTGGGAGGCCAGGCAGTGTGCTCCTGAGAGGGCAGTGTGTGAAGCTGTGAGTGACAAGCCAATTCAGTGGAAACCCTAGAAATTTGGAAAAGCCAGGAACATGGATCACCTAAGGGAAACTGCAAAGAGGGAGCAAAGCCAGCCTAAGACAGAAGCCATGGGAGCTACCAGCACCAGAAATGCCATAAGGGTGGAGCCATGTAGAGCTCACAATTTGCCACATGTTGCTTCAGCTGTTTCATATGGAACTATAGGACTTAATGTTTGCCCTGCTGGATTTTGGACTTGTTTTGGCCCCAGTGGTCTGTATCCTGTACAGGGGCTCACAGTTGAGAATTTGCCTTGGGTCTTGGAGGAGACTTGGAATTTGAACTTTTCAGCAATGCTGAAACATTGGAACTTTGGCAACTCTTGGAGATGGATTAAAATGCCTTTTGCACAAAGGGATGCATATGACACTTTGAGGGCCTGGGGGTGAGATGTTATGGTTTGTGTCTAGTTGTCCCCAAAAAAAGTCATGTAAGTTATGGGGCAGATGCAACAGGAGGAGCAATGAGTGGCTTGAGGGGTGGGGCCAGAGGACCAGGGTGGTGCCTGAATGACAGGGCCAGTGCAGTGCAGACTGTTAAACTGGCTAGCCTGTGCTTACTCAGAGATGTGGAAAGGGTCATCCTGGACACAGCAGCACCCTAGACTGTCCTCCAGTGTCTTGAATCCTCCAGTAACTAAAGCTAAATAAACCTTTCCTTCCCTAAGCTTGAGTGTTGGATATTTGTCCCAGCAATGAGGAAAAAAAGTAACTAAGACATGTCCCAAGGATGTTGTCCACAAGGGAAGAGGGAAGAAGGAGGGAGGGAGGATCTGGTGGCTCACTGAAGTTGGGTATGTAGGATGAGGCCTGTGGGGGAGGGGTGAAAGAGGAGTGGAGCTTTTGGAGTAGATCTCTCCCCATGTGAGGGGTGGAGTAGGTTTCGATCACAAGGAAATTATGAATGAAAAGTAGTGTCTGGAGTAGCAGGAATTTGTCCTGTCTGAGTGGGTCTTGAAGGTTAGGCATCACCTCCTACTTGAGGATGTACAGCTATTGCAGTGCCCTGAAAGCACATAAAGAACACTATGTGTGTCCTCCATGTATAAGCAGAGTGTCCAACCTGAGATGTCCAGAGAGACTTGCAACTCAAAGATTTCAGTGGGGCTGTGGACTCCAAGCCTCATCAGTCCTCTTCAGTGGAGCAAGTCAACTATTGATTCATCTGGCTGCAGTGAGTTTTCCTCTGATTGTAGGGAAATGGGGGACTTACCTGCGCTCTAGCAGACAGAGCAGTCACATTTCCAGTGGCCCTTGAGATTATAGATTGGATCAGGTCCAAGAGGTGGCATCAGGCATGGACAGGCTTGTGCCAGGTGTCCTTCACTGCATTTGAAATATGGTCCAAAGGGTGTCCTTCAGCACAGTGTTACTTAGACTTAGCAATAGTTTCACTCCATGCAAAGTGAACTTGAGTAGAGGCAAAGATTCACTGATTTTGAGCACAGTTTATGTGGGACTCTTTCACATTAAAATGTTCACACTCTGGTCCCTCCTTTTCTCTATGACCTCACTTCACAAAAGCTGCCTAAGAGCTTGTTCCACTGTCATTCACTGTGGTACTGAGTTGTCCATCTTCTTCCTGCTGTAAATTCCATTCCAGAACCAGAAAACACAAAGACATATGTGTGCTACACTTATGTCAAAGAGGTGTTGCTGATCACTGGGGAAGAGAAGGCGCCCATGTGTTTTCTCCAGATACTCCTGTGTGATCATTTTCTTTCTAGGTTCAGCTTTTCTTACTGTTCTCTGGATATGATTCCGAAATTCAACATGCTAACTCTATGATAGATCGGACTTTTTCAATAATTATGTACCATGTATCTGATAGTAAAGTCACTGAAATTCAATCATTACACCAATTGGCCTACGATATTATTTTGACCCTTAACCCAATATATAGCCCAGATTGTCATGAAATTCACAACGATCCTCTTGTGTCTACAACCTCAGTCTCTGGATTACAGGTATGTGACACTCTGCTGCTCTGAAAACTTTTCTATTTACTGATTTTTTTTTCTTGCTTTTGAGCTATAAAAGTTCACTTTCACTTTTGTACTAACTTTGGCTGAGTGATGCTGCTTGTGCAGTCTTGTATTAGTGGGAAAAAAAGACTTTTATATAGTATCACAAATTTATTTAAACCCTTTTAATCGTTGTATTGTGCTCCTCTGCTTCTCATTCAAAGTATCCTTAGAAACTGGATTTAATGTCTGCATTTTTTATGCCTTTCTCATTTATGTTCAATGTTGTTTTGAAGTTTTTCCATCATGAATATTGATCAAACAATTAATGAAGACATTTATTTCTTGGGATAGGAAGTTGTGATTGAAGACATATTGATTATTTACAGCATAACAAATAATAAAATAATTATTATAAATACCCTAAAAACATTGCTTAATTGTATGTATTTATCAGTATTGTAGTATGTGAATATAGGACAATAAAATTTTACATTATGATTATTTAGGTAATATTTGTTAGCAGATATATGCCAGCAGTTTCTGCTTTGAGATTCTGGAAATTATCTTTCCTGAGATACTTTCTTGTGTGTCGCATATTCTATTGTATTAATATTAGCCATCTTTTTATTTCAACTTTACTTTTTTTGTGTGACTGGCTCAGCCCGCCCTGGGGGTGGGGCAGTCGGGGCACATAGTGGTTGTTGTGCATTGAGCTGGCCATCAAGACCAGACATGGTGATGCACACCTGTAATCCCAGGGCTGGGGAGGCTGAAAAAGGATTACTACATGTCCACGCTGTGTTGTGAGACATTGAACCAAATACACACACAAAGAATTCAGTATTTGCGTATATTCATTTAAATGAAATACTATTGTAGTGGTCAGAAGGGAAATTTTTACTTCTTCAACTGCTTTAAAACCATTGTATTTGAAGTATATACACATTATATAATGGCTAAATTTAGCAAATTCACACTCATGTTACCTCATAACATTTTGTGATGAAAAATGTATAATCTACTTTGTAAGTCACTATTCAGGAACAGGATAAATCATGGCTTAGGTTTACAACAAGACTGGAATTTGAATTTCTTGTTTGTAAAAGGAACATCTAAGCTAAACAATGTTGAAACAAACTTTCCCTGAAACTCTGAAAGAACCCAAGCAGTTTTAAGACATACCTAAAGAAAAAGATCTCAAAATGAAATGTAAACTGTAAAGCCTATTTACGACTCCACAATTTTTTTCACTATGGCATGTAGAAAATACATAATTACAAAACCCTGTATACACATTGTTCAGTAATACTAAGAAGCAAATATGGGTCAAACAAAATCCTGATGATTGTAACAGCAGTGCGATGGGACCTTTTTCCCGGCCAATGGGAATGGAAATGGTTCTGCCACGTGAAGGGTCTTTGGGAATTTCTAACTCAGATGAAGCTATCCAGGGATCAAAATAACATGAATCATTCACACAAGTGATGTGAATATGATATTTCTGAACATCACATGAAGATGTCCCCATCACCTTCATGTTTTCCAGCTCCTCCCCACCATGGTTGAAGAATCCACCATGGATGAAGAATGCATGTGGGCACAGTTCAGACATCTGGAGAAGGCTCTTACAATGAAGCATTTGAACCATCAGCATTAAGCAACCATGTAGTGCAAGACTCAGGAGATTACTCAGGAAAGAGCTCAACAGCCTGCCAGGCAACCACATGCAAAAGAGGGCTTCTGCTTTTTACTCTGCTCTCAGAGCCTCTACCCCTGCCTGCCTAACAAGCCACCTCTACCCAGGATCCAACAGCGTTGCTCTTGTTAGTCTGTCACCTATTAATTTTTATACATTTGGAACCTATGATAGAAGCAGATTATTCGGTAATTATCCAAACACAGTGGCCATTGTGAGGACCACTTTGTTGATGCTGGTGTCCCTGGAGATCAAAGCTGATTGTTCAGGGCTTAGCTGTAGGGGTTTGTATCACCAAAATTCTGAGAGCCACTTCAGGCCCTTCCTTGGGGGATAATGATTCCAAGTTCTCCTCACAACATAGGTGCTCAGTGAGAAGGAGGTCAGCTTGAAAGTCTCAGTGTGGAACCCAGGAACAGAACCAGACATGTGGCAGGCAGCCTATGGAAAAACAGAAAACAAATGAAGCTAGTTCAGATGAGGACAAGAACCTTTGCATCACTAAGGTCCTGATCCAAGAACTCTCAGGCAGAGAATGTCAACAGCAGGAGAAGTGAACACAGCCTGACCCTGTGAGGCACAGTAGTCCTGGCCCAGGCCCTGCTGGGCTTTCTAACAGCAAAGGGAAAATCTGGAAATTTACATTTCCCTCCTCCAAGTAGTGACCCCAATTTGAGGACCCAGAACTCAGAAATCAGAACAGAGAAGATAAATTTATGTAGTGGAGAGAATTCCAAATCTCAATCTGACTCTTGCAGTCCCTTACTGCCAGCCCCACAGACACAGGACATAGCAGTGCTGAGCAGAGCTGGGCAGCCCATGAACAAGTTGCCTGAAATCACAAGTGAGGAAGGAGATGCTGTGAACCTGAATAGAAGAGTATGTCACTGAGTTCTGACAAGGAAAACCCAGTGATTTCCCCTTGGCATGTGATGCATCCTCTTTTTCCCCAAATAGGTTTATTCACAGAGGACAGAGGGACATTTCATGCCATGAACAGTGAGAAAGTCATCAAACCTTGGCCAGGTTCCTGCATCAGCCATTGACTGAACCACTAAGCCCCAGGTCATAGAAATGAGCTACTTGATTTAAAATAAGACAGCCTTCCCTTTCAGGAAAGAGGAGATAAAGAGGTAACCTTCAAATGTAATTTTGGGGTAATGGATTTGGAATAAATGACAATGTCAGTTAGTCATCAATGTTTTCCTGTGGTAGAGGGATTAATGTAAACTATCTCTCATGTTAGAGAACATCAGCCTGGTCTAGCTGGCTCAATAAATGACATTTGAATCCTCAAATATGTCTTAATCAGGGAATCATGCTGAGATCTCTTCCATGAATCTAATTTGTACAAAGCCTGGTAACCAGGTCCATTTAAATTACCCAGGTTCTAATCCTGTAGACAGTAGGAGCCCTTTCTGCCTCTATAAGCATTGCTTAGACTTTAACCCAGGTGCATTGAGCCCCCTGGCAATGAAACATTCCCAGTTCCATGGTAGGAGCAGAATAAAGCAGGTAGAATTCGCCTTTGTGAGGATGTGAAAAGCAGAAGCCTCAGAGCCTGACAGGAAAGCAGCTGTTTTCCCTGTGGCCCTGCTGATGAAGCTGTTTCCAGGTTCTGTTTGTCAAACGCTCCCCCTGATGGTTTTTAGCACTACTGAAAGGAGGTTTTTGTCAGGGCTTATACTGAGCTGTCCTCTCTGTGTCTCTTACACAATAATACAGGGCTGTGTCCTCAGCTCTCAGGGTGTCCATTTGCAGATAGACCATGCTTTTGGAATCATCTCTGGAGATGGTGAATCTTCCTTTCACAGACGCAGCATAGTCCGTTGTATAACTATTAGCTTTATTCCTAATGCGAGCAACCCACTCCAGCCCCTTTCCTGGAGCCTGGCGGGCCCAGTCCATGTAGAAGTTACTGAAGGTGAATCCAGAGGCTGCACAGGAGAGTCTCAGGGACCCTCCAGGTTGCACCAAGCCTCCCCCAGACTCCACCAGCTGCACCTCAGCCTGGACACCTGCAAAGACAGAGAGATCCTGCTCAGGAAGCTGTCACACAGGCCCACTGTTTATCCCACTCATGTCCACTTACACACTCAATATCTCTTGTTATGCATAAATCACCTTTGAAAACAGCAACAAGGAAAACCCAGCTCAGCCCAAGCTCCATGGTGAGCCGTCTGTGTTCAGCTCTGATCACAAATTAGCAACAGCTCAGCATGCAGAACTGGGCTCCTCAGCAGAGCTGTAGGGTTAGAGCTGGGCTGGGCTGCTTTTCATCAGCAGAGGGAGGTCTTATTTGCATGGCCTCCTGCTATATAGTCAGCTTTGTGGGCTCAAAGTGGCAAAAGTTCAGTAGCAAGATCAATCAAATGAGGAAATTCAATTAGGAACAAATTCAATGACTTTGTTAGAAAGCAATAAATTATCTTGTTGAAATGACAAAAAAAGATCAAATGGAACTTCACTTCTTAGATCTGATGACTATAGTAATATTTAGTTAAAATAAGTGTTTTATGGGGTCACCCAACTGGGACTACTTTTGCCCATCTTTTTTCTTTTGAGGTTAATAAAAATTAGCAGGTATTTTTTTCCATAATTTTATTGAGAGACAAACAGCAGTGAGACAGTTTCAAATCAAATTGGTAGGACAGTTTCAATAATTAACACATTGCATACTGTCTTCCTAGGGGTTATTTGCTGTACAAGATACAGACATGATATCCTATTTACAAACACTATTACAACAAATCCCTCTATTCATTAAGAGAATGTAACTATATATCTATGCCAACCATTTTGAATATACAGATACAAAATGGCCATACATCTGTATCCCCTTTCTTGTTTAGTTCTGTCATTTGAATATTATAGGTGTGTTAACTCACCAAAATATTCTAAAAGAGTCCAGTAGTCCATAATAGTATTGGGTCTTCCGCTTGACTGACAGTGTCAGAAATTGTTGACCTGAGTCCCCTACAGCTCAACATAACAGCATGGCTTTACTTCTTATACTTCATTTTTATTCTTGTCTGCTGGATGATTAAGACCAATATAAAGCAAGACCTATGCAACAAGAGTTGTAGCTTTTGGGTCTGATGAGGTCAGTGAAATCCCCTCAGGATTTATCCTGAGATCCTGTACCTTAGATTGTAGATCCTTTATCAGTGTCAGCCATGTGGATGAGTCACGGCCATTGCTTGGCCAATGTGCTCTATATGAAAGCCTGAGACAATGTTTTCTCTCCATATGATTCTCCTTAGGCACACTCTACATCATTGATCACTTTCCTCTTTGGCCCCATAATCTCCTTGATGAGAAAATTTGGGATACTGCTGAGTTACATGACATTACGGTACAAGTTCTCATATGTCTTGAGTCTTAATTGACCTTGGAAGGCGAGGGCCAAAATGTTGGCTTTCCTTGTGGCCCTTCTTTTTCTCTAATTTTGGTCTGCAAACTTAGGTTGTTAACCCTCCAGAAGAGAAGCTTATTGTTATTACCATACAACCTAGGCTGTTAAGCTTAATCTCACTATCTGTCTGAATATCAAACATCTTAGGCATAA